CTCGGGACGAGGGAGTGGTTCTTCAATAACTGCTATTGGTTCTTCTAATAATATCTCAGGATTCAACTTTTCTTTTACTGTCGCCGCTAACAAAAATTGGTCAAACCAAATTTTGAAATTCCACGGAGGGTCCGAACTTGCTGATGTCCAGAAAACAGGAAGGCCCATATCTGTTCAGTTGTCCTGTGCCATGAATTCCGCTGGATGCGCCATGTGGTAAGGAATAGAATACTTTATTACTAGAGTGAAAACAATAACTGTTTCAAGATGTTAATTTAGACTCTGAAACGGTTTCTTTTGGTTTTCTCTAAAAGCTTTTAGGTCAGACTGAATTCCGTATCTGCCGTACGGAGATCTGCCTCTCATCTGAATCGCCTCAGTGATCAACACTGAATGACCTTGATGTCATAACAACTAAGGTGTAACGCACCTCCGGTGCTTCGAGTTTTTGACAAATAGTGAAAAACCACATATATTGGAAAGCAGATCTGGAGGCTTTTAGTGTGCTCTGACAGCACCCAATTACAGGGTTGGTAATTCCAAATTTTATTAACTTTTTTCAATTCTAATGTTCTGTCAAATCCCGAAAACGTCAAACTTCGAGAACAACAAATATTCGAGTCGTCGTATTTGGGAGCAAGATTCGCAACCATTGAGAGTAGCCTGACAGCTCCGAACTACAGGGTAGAGAATTTCAAAATCTGAAGAAAAAAATCACTTCAAGTTTTTTTTTAATTTTTAAAAAAATCACAAAAAAAGCCGTATCTCGAAAACTACAAGAATCAGAGCAGTCATAATTGGAGGCAAGGTTCGCAACCCGTGAGATTACTCTGATAGCCTCAACTACAGGGTTCGAAATTTCAAAATTTGAGGAAAAAAAATTTCGTCCAAGTTTTCGATTTTTTTTTTGAAAAAATCACAGAAAATCTCATATCTCGAAAACTACAAAGATTTGAGCCGTCATATTTGTACACAAAATTCTCAACCACTGAGAGTAACCTGACAGCACCTAACTACAGGGTAGAGGATTTTAAATTTTGAATAAAAAAAATAATCCACGTTTTTTGAATATTTTTGTAAAAAAATCACAAAAAACGTCGTATCACGAAAACTACAAGAATCAGAGCATTCATAATTGGAGGCAAGGTTCGCAACCCGTGAGATTACTCTGATAGCCCCAACTACAGGGTTCGAAATTTCAAAATTTGAGGAAAAAAAATTTCGTCCAAGTTTTCGATTTTTTTTTTGAAAAAATCACAGAAAATCTCATATCTCGAAAACTACAAAGATTTGAGCCGTCATATTTGTACACAAAATTCTCAACCACTGAGAGTAACCTGACAGCACCTAACTACAGGGTAGAGGATTTTAAATTTTGAATAAAAAAAATAATCCACGTTTTTTGAATATTTTTGTAAAAAAATCACAAAAAACGTCGTATCACGAAAACTACAAGAATCAGAGCATTCATAATTGGAGGCAAGGTTCGCAACCCGTGAGATTACTCTGATAGCCCCAACTACAGGGTTCGAAATTTCAAAATTTGAGGAAAAAAAAATTTCGTCCAAGTTTTCGATTTTTTTTGAAAAAATCACAGAAAATCTCATATCTCGAAAACTACAAAGATTTGAGCCGTCATATTTGTACACAAAATTCTCAACCACTGAGAGTAACCTGACAGCACCTAACTACAGGGTAGAGGATTTTAAATTTTGAATAAAAAAAATAATCCACGTTTTTTGAATATTTTTGTAAAAAAATCACAAAAAACGTCGTATCACGAAAACTACAAGAATCAGAGCATTCATAATTGGAGGCAAGGTTCGCAACCCGTGAGATTACTCTGATAGCCCCAACTACAGGGTTCGAAATTTCAAAATTTGAGGAAAAAAAATTTCGTCCAAGTTTTCGATTTTTTTTTGAAAAAATCACAGAAAATCTCTTATCTCGAAAACTACAAAGATTTGAGCCGTCATATTTGTACACAAAATTCTCAACCACTGAGAGTAACCTGACAGCACCTAACTACAGGGTAGAGGATTTTAAATTTTGAATAAAAAAAATAATCCACGTTTTTTGAATATTTTTGTAAAAAAAATCACAAAAAACGTCGTATCACGAAAACTACAAGAATCAGAGCATTCATAATTGGAGGCAAGGTTCGCAACCCGTGAGATTACTCTGATAGCCCCAACTACAGGGTTCGAAATTTCAAAATTTGAGGAAAAAAAATTTCGTCCAAGTTTTCGATTTTTTTTGAAAAAATCACAGAAAACCTCATATCTCGAAAACTACAAAGATTTGAGCCGTCATATTTGTACACAAAATTCTCAACCACTGAGAGTAACCTGACAGCACCAAACTACAGGGTAGAGGATTTTAAATTTTGAAGAAAAAAAATAATCCACGTTTTTTGAAAATTTTTGTAAAAAATCACAAAAAATGTCGTATCTCGAAAACTACAAGGATTTCCCATACAAAACAGTCCAATTCAAAACAGTCCAGAAAAGTATGAAAACGAACAAAAAAACAGTCCGATACAAAACAGTCCGAACAACATTCCCAATTGATTATCGTTTTAACAAGCCGGCAGGCCGAGAATTGTACTTTGTTCAACAAGCATAATGAACATAATAGTGACCGCCGCAGTCGCGCCAACGTGTTGCGAGCTTGCCAACAAAAGGTAGGACTTAATACGAAATTTAGAGCTGGTTATCGCCGCGAAGCGGCGACGCGCTCGCAGCGTGCCCACCGGTGACCTTAGACCGGACTGTTTTGTATTGGACTGTTTTTTTTAGTCCATTACATGATTTTTGGGATGTTTTGTATATGCACCAATTACTGCACATGCAGTATGTGCTGTACCACACCAGAAAAAAACGGGCATTTTTGAATAACTTTTTTCAACTTTTGACTCTTTCTTCAATCAGTGTAGTCAGAATTTATGTGCTAAATGCACAACACAACACCTTCTTGTTTCTATATTAAATAGCATGGCAAACTGCACTAAGAGTTTTTTTTATTTACCAATGTTATGTCTAATTGGTTACTATGAACCAGCCTACTGAAAACCATATGGCGTAAACAGAAACTTCATTACATTTAAAGTTTTCGCACTCAAATCAGCAGAGCAATTTTTGCATATTGCAGTCGAATGTCTCGTGAAAAATGCCCAAAAGACGTTTGCAAACAGCACAACTCATATCTTAAAACTGTCATCATTGCAGCCCAGATGAAAAAATGGTTTGTAGATTAGGCAGTTTTTCTTCGAATCCAAATATCAAGCTTTGGAGAAAAGCTTCAGGTATGAAATGTCAATCACCAATCATGATAGGAAATGATTGCTCAGTACTTTTATGATTTAACGGAACGCTTTTTGAAGGTCTACAGAAATAGAATTCAAGGCGAAATATTAGCAAAGTCTCATTAACCCGAAAACTTTCGAGAAGCAAAAATATGACCCTGAGAAAGAATATTGCCTTTGATTCTTTTTACTTTCTCAAACTTCAAAAGTTGGCAACAAAGCCCAAAAAAATGAGCGAACAAAAAGTTAGTCAAAATCCACTAAACATAAAAAGAATCAACAGAAATCACTTTCAAAACGTTATCTTTGGGTGTATCACTGTCAAAATGAAATTTCAAAGAACACAGGAATTAAGGCAACTACTAGTTAGCCAAATAAAACTTATTAGGTGCTTTACGGAAATTTTTTGACCGGGATTTGAACAATATACACCTATGACAGACAAGTCAAAACCATTAGTTCTACACCAGTCATTCACTGTAATTTGATAAATTTTCTATAGCACTAAAATATATCCTTGCGATTTCTTACATCATTTTACCTGCATGAAAAGTAGTTAAACTCGCAAGTGTATAAATTCATCAGAATTACCAATATCTAATTTTAGAGAAATCATAGTACATTGTCAAAGCAAAAAACCCAAGGTTAGCCTACCAACTTGCTCATTTATTATCCAACTAACCGTCTGAAGGTCAAACTATAGATTTGTTTTAAATGATATGTTTGTAAATTAAGTGTAACGAAAACATGATAAATTAGACCATCGTCGATTTACATTTGAAGCATTCACAAGCTGCAGTCTTGAGCTTATTCATTTCCTCGCCTTCCTGATACACGTCTTATAGCTTGCTATGGAAAAATTTAACTCTTGCATTATCCTTGAATTCGTTTTGGCATCCAAGGAAAGCGGCAGGCTAGCTTTATTAGATTACACCAAAGACAACTTGTTCGAAAAACTTCAACAGATGCTGTTCGACACACACACCAAAGAGGAAAAGTTCCTCAAAAAATCGAGAAGCGTTGAAGATCTGCGCGAAGCTGTAGTGTTTTGGAAATGTGATCGAGGTAAACTGCGTCCTCTAGAATCAGACGAAGATTTTTGTGCTGCTATTTTATATTGGACAAGGAATGATCTACTCAGATTCCCTATGGAAATTTATGTTTTGGAGAAAAAGTCACCATAGACACAATTTGAAACAGCTATTAGACAGTAGGAAAAGTGTCAATGAGCTCCCAAAAACAAAAAATAATTATAAGTTTCAAACTTTGAGCTTCAAAGAAGAGCACCTAATAATTTTGAATACCTTAAAGCCTTTTCAATTTCAAAAATATTTCACTGTTTTAAAAAAGGCTATCCCTATTTGAGAAAAAAGGGTCACCAAGTAGTTTTCAATGAGTAAATACACGGCTTGAAGGATTGTCTTCACCTCGTTCATTGACACTTAGAAACTTAAGCTGAACAATGTCTATTTGAAGCAAAAAAATAATAGTTTTGTATTTTCTTTCGATGAACATCTAGGCGTAGCAGGCGACAATTCGCATCAGCAGATTGAGCGGCTAACACTGATTCACGCGTACGATATTTCTAATGCTGAAACCGAAGCAGGGTAAGCAGCCACTGGTCGCCAATGCCTTGTAACCAATTGTTGCATGTAACTAATTGTCGACCAATCTTTCAGAATATACTCAAAACATTATGTCAAATAGATCAATTGAAAAACAGAACAAAAATCGACATTAGCGATCACAGTTTATTTGATTAAAGAAAAACAATGAGTTCCCTCGCCAAATTGGGAACATCTTTCATGTCCAGATCACCTCCGATGGGCACAATATAACCATAAATAACCAGAATGATTCCACTGTCGTGCAAAAAAAAACAGGGCAGGTGACAGTTTCGGAAGGTGCCCTTTTGCATATCACTTTGCAGCCTGTGCCGCTTCCTTCCTGCACGCATCCTGCAACAACTGCGTGTCAACTTCATCTGCAGGCAACTGCACGTACCTCACCACTGAGCCTCTGATGAAACAGTTCTTCACACTCAGCATGTGTGGATGTCTGTCTGGGTCAGTGACGGTGATATCTGACAACAAATATGCTCTAAATTTTACTCCCATAGAGCCAAAAACGAATACACAACCTTTTTTGAAAACAGTTTAAAACATCTATTTATTTAACATCAAAAACGGCGAATTTTCGCATAAGACCGCCAAATAAGTCTGCACAAGGACAATTATAATCTAAATTTCAATGCAATTTGACAGCGTGGACAAAAATTGGTTTTGTAAAACTTTACAAATGGGGTAAAAAAAGAGTCACGAACACCAAACAATTACCCAGGGGCGGATTAACATGGCGCTAAAATGTTCCAAGAAGTACCAAATGCGTCGCATAAGGCATTGAGTCGCACATAATTTTTGGTATATTTCGTCTTTAGTCCTTCATAGAAACTTAATAAAGCCTAATTATGCTAGCTGGTCTCGATAGATGCAGAAACCATAGGATGGTGCCCATATAGCATCTAATATCAAATTCGAATTAAATCGAAAAATTAATTAGATAAACAAGAAGGTAGAAACTTAGATGCCTGATAACTTGATGTTGAGGAACTGATCAACGGAGTGTAGCGTGCCACATATGCTGAGGTCATTCTTCAATTCCACCACAACTGTTTTCCCTACCAGAGACTTGAAAAAAGAGAAGAAAAGCATTGCGCTTCAACCTTATTGTTTTTAGTGAGAGCGCATCATTTTCAACGTCAACTCTGAAAAAAAAATGCACATATTTTGACCATTAACAGAATCTGTCCTAACTTTTCAACCTTAAACCTGACAAAGAAACTGACACACATAATTTGAATTGATAGGTGCAAAACCATCTAATTAGTTTACAGATAGTAAATCATGTACAGTTATAAACAAGCCATTGATACATGGTTACTCTAGTGAAAAAAGAGAATGCAAGAAGCTTGCCATTCAGTAGTACGCCGAGGGTGGTCCTGTAGTCTGCCGCATCTTCCTCAGTTTTGGCTGCCAAAAATTGATCCCCTTTGTTAGTAATTTACATCCTACATCCATATTTTGGCCGACCGACATTAAAAATTTCGTTGGGACTCGAATATATAGTAAATTTGAGGAGGAGGGGTTTAACTCGCCGAAAAAAACGAGAAGTAAAAAAAAACTTTCAATTATTTTCAAAAGACCGCCCTCTCAAAAAATCCTGCGCAAGCAATGTTGGCGTTACTGGCAAGTTGAAAAAAAACGAGAAAAAGTACAAAAAAATTTTCCATTTTTTTTTTTCAAAAAACCGCCCTCTCTCGATCGAAAAATCCTGCGCATGTTGCCATTGTAATGAGAGTTTCATTTTCTCCCGTTTAAAAAGTAATTATCACACGTCGACAATATCATCATCAACTCTTGAACTGCAGAGTTGAGTTTCAAATTTTAACGAACAATTTTACGGCGTTAAGGACTACCCGTACTGAGAATAAATGGAGTGCAATCGAATTTAAATCCATTTTTGTCAATTGATTAAGGTTTCATTTTCATCATTTTATACAATAAGGATACATTAAAAAACTAAAACTTTCGAATGAAGCTTAAAAAATGAAAACTCTTGTAACGTGTCGTTACAAAAATTAATTTTAACATAATAACAAAAAAACTCCAAACAACAATAAAAAGGCCAAACACATGTTGGAAATATCAGAAAATTATCGAAACTATTTGAGTAGTCATACTTAGACGCCAGATTTGCAGCTCCTGAGTGTACTCTGGCAGCACCCCAAGATAGGGTTGAGATTTTCAAATGTGGCTAATTTTTTATATACAAGTTTTGTTAAAATTAAAAAAAAATCATTAAAAAACGCCATATTTCGAAAACAAAAAGATTTTCGCAGCCCTACTTGAACGCCAGTTTATAACCCCACTTACAGGGTTGAGAACTTAAAATTTAATTTAAAAAACTGTCGAACCAAAAGTTTTTTAGTTTCACGTTGCGAATGTAGGAAAAATGTAGAGTGAAAGCATGCGCGCTCTAACAGATTTCAAACTGTCGGTTTCTTAAACATACGGACTTCTTGAACATGTTACAACATACGGCTTCTTGAATATGTGTCAAGTGAAACGCCAACCAATAATGTACAGAGGGATGTACATATTTATAAAACAAAATACGAGTTCGGTGTCGTTATTTGTCAGCAAACGGATTTCTTAAACATGTGTCAAGTGAAAGACCAATTAAATAATGTATAGATAGCTGTACAAAATTATAAAATAACAAGCGGACTTCTTAAAAAAACGGACGTCTTAAGCATCTGTCAAGTTAAACGCCAATAAAATAATGTACAGATAGATGCACAGAATTATGAAACAAAAAAGCGAGTTCGATGTCGATTTTTTTTGCAAAAGTCAAACTTAGCTTTTTTGATATCCGTGGAAAAGCCTTAGGGCCCAACTGTTCTCAACAAATCAGTTTTCATTGAAGTTGGTATTCAATGAACCACATTAATTGAACCTTTATGTCTGAGATTAATTGAACTAGTTTTTCCCTGACCTTCGGTTTTCAGAGCAAAAACTTATTTCGCGATTAGAATGTATATTGGAACATCGAGCATTTAAAAGACTCTTTCATTACAAATTAGCATTAGGGATATTTTGTGTTTATTCAACAAATTTTAAATTTTCCGGTCGCAAAAAAAAATTGTTTTCGAAAGTCTGCTTGGCTTTGTTTCCATTGGAGAGAGAAAGTTCTTTTTGATCATGCCCGATTGAACGGAAAATTGCTTTGTTTCCGACTGAGTGAATTGAAAAAATAGGTTGTTGAATGACGTTGGTTTTTCCTAGGCAAGGAACATCGAAAACTGCAATAATCGACCTGCGGCTATCACTGAAGCAAGTGAGTTTGTAGTTGAGTGGGAAGGGAAAAATCAATTGGACGTACGTGGGTCATAAGTTACTATCTATGGGCAAAAAATTGGAAAAATTATATGAATACAAGAAAGTATACTTTTGGCTTCACTGAATATCAGTAGTTGTAATATCCGATCAATAATTTTTGCCTTAAAACGTGCTGTGCTGCTCAATTGAAATAATAGCTTCAACGAGACCATTTTGTACATTTAGGAGCAGTTAAGGAAAACTATGAAAACAGTCCTAATACTGACTACGAGGGATCAAAGAAAGTCTTAATAAGCTGGGGCCCCAGTTGGCCAGAAATCGACGAGTGACAATCGCTGAAATCGACGAGCTATAGAAAATTTAGGAAAATCGATAAAAAGCCGAAAGCTGAACTGTTTTCTTAGGTCTGTGACAGAATCATTTTGGCCATATATTGACAAAGAAAAAAGTATGACTCATCTTGTTCATTCATAATCCCGGGTTGACCGTCAAAGACAAAAATGCTAGTCATACAGCTCCAGACATTTTCTCTATGAAAAAATGCTAGTCATACAGTTTCCATACTATGGGAACTGTATGACTAGCATTTTTTTAAAACAAAAAACAATTTGTATGAGAAAAAAAGAAATTAAAGTAGTTATAATGCTCATAAAACTAGTCAGCTGTCATACGTTAATCTCCAAACTTGTCGAAACAGGCAAAAAAATTAACAAATGTCTTGTATTGAGAAAACACAAAGAAGTTAAGTTAGTTAGGAAGCTCAAAAAACTTGTCAGTGGTCAAAATGTTATCTCCAAACACGTTGAAAGACAAAAAAAATTGTCAAGAAACTAAATTTTTTTCAAAAAAATGCTAGTCATATAGTTTCCATACTATGGGAACTTTATGAATGACATTTTTTAAAACAAAAAAAATTCGTATTAAGAAAACAAAAATGAAGTAAGTTAGTTAAGAAGCTCATAAAAATAGTCAGTGGTCAAAAGGTAATATCAAAACTTTTTGAAATTAACAGAAAAAGAAGCAAAAAATTCATTTTTTTCTTGAAAAAACGATAGTCGACCAGTTCCCAAAATATGGGAATTGTTCCACTAGCATGTTTTTTGAATAAACAACAACAAAACGTATCGGCAAAACTAAAAACTTTAAATTGGCTATTAAGCTCTAAAATTTGCTAATGGTCAAACGGTAATTTCCAAAATTATTGAACTTGACAAAAAAACTACGTGGTAAAATGCTACCCATAAAGATCACATACTATTGGAACGGTATAACTACTAAATTTTCAAAGAAAGTTCTATTATTGTGATCACTAAAAAAGGTATTTTAAGAAATCGAACCTGAAAAAAACTAGTTAATGATCAAAAATTGATCTGACAGCCGATTGGAACGGAATAATTTTTTTCAGTTTTAGATCAACGCCTAAAATTTTTGTTAAAAGAAATTTTTCGAAATAAAATTTTTCAAGTCACAAGCATAGCAGGAAGTTTGCTTTCATGATGTACTATAATTAAATTCAGAAGTAGATTTCAATAGCAATTTTTCATTCATACAAAGTGTAATATACTGTTACTGGCAATTATTGATTGAGCGTTAAGTGTTGCTTTGTATTCTAGAGTGATGAAGTTTGACGTATGTACGTTGGATGTGCGGTCTGGGCTTTTGAATCCTCAACTCAGGGATGCGCTTAGTGATGGCTACGCCCTTCTTTCTTAGATTGAATAAATTGAGTTTTGAAAGTTCAATTGTTTAGAGCTACTGAGTATTACTGGCTCTCTTTTTGTACTGATCTAATGATTGTTGACTTTGAACAATTATATTTTAACATTTCGTAATTGGCATAAAAAGAGATTACAATTTAATCTATTAAGCGTCTAATTCGCTCCAATTAAGGTAATTTGGCGAGAGTAACTAACATAGGTGTTCTGCACTATGTTACATAACTACACTGAATGATTCTTCCCTGGCGGCTATAATTGTGGAAAGTCGCAAGTGGTTATATAGATATATCAAACAATTAACTGGACACTTTATTAAGTTTACTGTGGTTATTAGATTAAGTTTGCTGCTTTCAAATTTTTCAAAATAAAAATGCTTTGAAAGTTTTTTTTTATGTTAAGTGGTGATAGCACCAGCACGCTATAATTTTTATGTTAAACTAAATAGGTTATATTTGCAATTAAATTAAAGCGGGGCACAAATATACGTAAAAGATTGTCCCAGAATTTAAGATACAATTAGACTCTCTTATTAGAGAAAGGCAAAGTTATATATTTATGTTTAATGGAAGCCACTCAGTCAGTCATAAAGATGATTTATGAGGGTGAATTCAATGATTGCCAGTAACTGTTCAAATTTGGCTGAAGCTCTCCTCTCTAGTGTCGTTCAGGTCAACCTGTGAGTCCTGTTTTCTGCTGACGTTCGCCATAGAGGAGCAGGCTGAAGTTAGTCGTGATCTGTCGGCTGGCGTTGTATGAGCATTCAATTCAGTTTGTGTCACTACCATGTATTTTTCACGAAGTTTGGTCCTCTGCTTTTGGAATTCCTTGCAGTCAGATGCTGCCACTGAGAGCACCGGTCGAATTGCGATGTTTCCATCCTGTCCTTTCAGAAACTTTGGGGTCAATCTTCTGAAGATGGCAAATCGGTGGTAGAGATATATGATGAGTGCATGTAAGACTAGGTTGCCGAAGAAGACTATTGCTGTCAGTGAAAGGAAAAGTCGTAATGGTACGTACTGCTCCATTTTGTCCACAAGGCTAGGCTTTAGCAATCGCATATTGTGTGCAATGGGTTTTGCGATCTCGTTCAGCTGATCGACTTTTGTCAGATGTGGACTGTCGATGAGTTTCGCCTTATCTTCTCTTAGTA